TTGAATGCCTTCCAGTAATAACTAAGTTCATGTCTGCATTCATGCTCTCTTTTCCACTCTGGAGGGGTAGAAGAGGATGTATTTGCTGAATTTTTAGTTATATGCATGTATATCATCCTATCCTTACATTACTTGGAGGATTCACACACCTAGGGATGCTCTTCACTACCCCTCCAGCAATCTTCTGAATTACTCTGGCCAGAAATTTTACCTCCCAGATATAAAGAATCCGCAGTCTTGTCAGTAAGAGTTTATATATCTTCTGGAACTAAGATCATAAAATCACGAAATCACAGAATGAGTAAGGCTGGAAGTCACCATTGGCACGGACATCTGATTCCACCTCTCTGTTCAAGCCAGATTTCCTGAAGCACATTGCACAGGATTGTGTCCAGTGCAGGTATCACCAGCGAGGGAGACTCCACAGCCTCTCTGGGCAGTCTGTCCCTGTGTGTGGACACCTGCACAGTAAAAAAGTTCTTCCTCATGTTCAGGGGGAGCATCCTGGACATCAATTTCTGCCTATTGCCTCTTATCCTATTGCTCAGCATGACGGAGCAGAGCCTGGGGCACCCTTCTTTCAGGTATTTCCGTATAATAACAAAGTTCCCTCTCAGTCATCCCTTCTCAAGACTGAATGGGCCAAGCTCCCTCAGCCTTTCCTCATAAGAGAGCTGCTCCTGTCCTTTCATCATCTTTGTAAACCTCTGCAAGCCTTGCTTTAGAGCTCTGTGTGTAGACTAGGGAAATATTTCACTCCTATTTCTAACCTTTTCCTTCCTTATTTTCTTCTTAGTCTGCAATGCAGCTGATGGTTTTTGTTCAACAAAACAAGGCATTGTGCAGGGGCTTATCAGGGAATTTTATATAAATTTCTTTATTCAAAAGAACTAACTCTATTTATGTTCCTACTGAATTAACTCTGACTGAGAGTAAAGGATATTCTTTGAGCCGTTATTGTTTTATAAAGTAACTTTACAGATGTTCTGCCTGTCTCTTTGTTCCCTTTTTTATCTTCAGGACTTGTGTGTATCCCTGCCACAGGTCTCTAGGTCTAATTGTGCATCTTTCCTGGTCGGCTTCTGATAATTTTTTGTTACATGAATGCCATGCCTCCATAAGCTATGCACGCACAACCTCAGCAGCAACAAGAGCCACACAAAATCGAGCTCTTCTTGAGAAGAAACAGCTTCAGCACAAGCCTGGGGTCAAGGCACTGTGCTTGATGTCTGTGCTTGTGTCTGTCATTCTGTAAGCAGGCAATGTGCACGACACTGAGCAAGGATCTGCAGGGAGTCCTCCACCCCACATTTTCATATGCTGCTCTTAAAACGCCAGGGACAACCCAGCACACGGGCAGGGGCTTAGGGACATTTATCGAGAAACAAAAGTTTATTTTCCAGACTCCCGCTGCATTTGCTGCTTGTTTTATTGCTTTCCTTCTGCCGAGTTGGATGCTAACAACTCCCAGTATAATTTTCTCTTCCCCTGCTGTTGGGCAGCAGAACATGTGGAGTTGTCTTCAACTTCTCCTGTGGCTGCCAGCTGTGTCTGTGTTCCACTTGCAGTGTGAGTTGTAAGAGAAGGTGATTCATTTGGTAAGTTTGGAGGCATAGCTGCCAGGGAGCCACAGCCTCCTGCAGCCTGGGCCTCCCTGCTGGTCTGAACCACTTCAAAAAGCTTTTTGGTTGATGCTTTTGTCCTGCTCTACTACCACACAGCTTTTCTCAGAGCATTTTGCTCTATTCACCAAGGCCAAGGGACTGCTGGGCAGTTTTTGTCACTCTGTGTCCAACAGCCTGCTCATTTGTGGGGACAGAGACCTTAGTACCCTTCTTCTGAAGAACCTGCTGTATCAAAAACTTTTGCCTTGATGGTATTCTGCATTCACAAGTTTGATTACAGTGTGTCTTCCTCTTTACAGCATGCTTGCACACCGTAAAGTACAAACTTCAGCCAACAAACCAGCACCAGGCTCACACAGTGCACTCTACTGTGTCATACACAAAATTGCAAGCAAAAAGTGTTTGAAATCACAGGAAATCTCTTTTGGAGGGAATCGTTCTGAACCTGGGAAAACCCCTGCTGTGGTGCAAAGGGAGGACTTCCTTAGCCATTTAACAGCCATCTGATCATCATCATAGCTCTAAAATCTAAAATATCTGAAACAATTGGCTAGTGCTGTAATCCGCTTTTAAAGGAAAAGTTTAGCTAAGTTCAAATACTTCAAAAAGATTGGAAGCCTTCCCCTTTTGTACTTGAAGAACTTTGTTACTATGTTAAATAGTCAAAAAAAATAAAGCTTAGGATTTCAGTAGAAAATAGTACAAGTAACTTTCTTCTTGTTTATAACCACAGATTTGGAAACATAGTAGTTTCCATAGCAGTTGTCAAGTGTGTTCACATTTTTCAGCCACATTGACATTGATGTTGCACATCCCATTCTTGATTACAGCAGATGTCACCACGATGTGATTTTTCAGACAAAGTCAATGCAGGTAACACTCCTGTCTTCCAGTGCATGCATACTTCCAGTGTGCCATCCATCAAATATATCAGCCAGACATAGTGCTTTACTGGGTCACCTACTGGTAATCACAGACTCAGCACAGACATCCTTATGTCTTAATGTTGAATATGATAAAAGAAAACAAAGCAAAAAAACAACTCAAGTCCCAGAGTCTTTATACTCAAGACTGAGTTGCCTCTGAACATCATGCTGTCACTGAGAGGTCTCCTGTTGGATGGCATCAGTTCATAGTTATGACATGCTTTGGTATAATTTAGCAAAAAACTACCATTGGGAATCAGCTAGGACTGCTTTTCAGCTCAACAAACCATGCCTCAAAAGGAATTAAGGAATAAAGGAATTGATGTTCAAGCTCTCACAGTCCAGTTACTGTGCAGCCAACTCCACTTCTTCAAGTTTGAAGCAATTATCCCAAATGAAGGATGAAATCCAGCCTCTCCCATCAAACTTCCCTACTGACTGAACTTCGATTCCTTCACCACAGTATAAGAGGGTAAAGTAGCTGAGAATTGCATTTTTCCTGCAGTGGCTTCAAAGGAAGTAAGACAAGGAGTAAAAAGTAAGACAGGGGGATGTACCTGTGATCTTCTCCAAAATTATTAATCTTGCTGTACTTGTTTCCAAGAGAAAAATCACTCAAAGTGTCATATTGGCTTGCATACAGCTGCTATTCCCCCACCAGATGTTTCAGCTGACCTAAAAGTGTCCTTTGAAAACTGAATGGATGCATGTACTTCAAATTTCAACCCTTCTTAGTTAGCAAAACTTTTTGTACAAGTTCAAAGAATTCTAAGAAATGGATAAAAAATCTCAAGTATAATAGATTCATTAGCATATATTTTCACCCAGTAAAGACAGGATCTTTAATCCTCCTTTATATATTAATTTAGAACACATTTTATTTATTAAATCTACAATACAAATAACATTGTATTACTCTTTAATTTCATCAGGAAATGTAGTTATTGAACGTTTTATTAAAGTATTTTTTTTTTCAGTAGCTGCTATATTTTTTCAAGGCAAGTTGTGCAAGGCCTAACAACAACATAAAAACAATTAAAGCTAAAGAGGAATGATGATTGTATTAGGATGTTAGGTAACTATCAGTATTAAAAAGTTTAACAAGCACAAATGACGTTTTTGTACATCAGGTTCTTTATGCCATTTTTGTAATATATCAGTACAATAGTCACATGCTGTCAAATAGATAACAAACAAGTGTAAGTGGTCATACACGCTGATGCACATTAGTTTTTCAGTTCCTATCAACCACATTCAACAAAAATATCAAGATAGCTGAAGAGCCTGACCCTACTTTTGCAAGCTGATTGATGCACACACCTGCTAACTCAAGACACAGCTCTGGGTGGATGCAAGATCAGTGCTGGTGGATCACTTTACAGGAGGGGTCCTTTGTTAGGAAAATGTGGGCTAATTACAAGTGGAAACTGCTCACTCATGAGGTTAAACTACCCAGGAGCCAACTAGATTATACTGCTTGCTCCAAGACCTTGCATAAAAGTGCTTCCCCATAGCAAAATCAGTAAGTCGTGGAACAGCTTCCTTCAAACATTTACAACTTATTTAAACGTGGATTTTTCCCTTAGGGCCTATAAAATGTCTTCTAGCTGCAGATTAGAATTTTAATGAATAAATATAATGGTATGCCAAAAATTTGCATGTACTCTAATCCTTGTTCAGTCTATAGTTTTGTTTCGCTAAAACTTCATTGTGGAATGAAATGACAGAAATCTGAGTAATTTTGGTTGCTATTAAAATATTGTATACAAACAGGAAAAGTCAGAATAAGGCATTCTCAATGTAAGCTTGAACAATGTACGTTTTCATGCTCAGTGGAACTACCATTTTAATTTCTTCTCAGAAGTAGTGGAATGTTGTTTTTTGTTAGTTTTTTTTTCTGTTGTTGTTGCTTTTTTTGTTTTGGTTTGGTTTTTTTTGTTGTTTTTTTTTTTTTTTGCATGTAAATCCCCAAATACTTTTTCAATTTTACAGATAAAAAACATTATTTCATACATCAGTTTTAAAAGCATTGGTTTGGTATTTCCTTCCATTTTGTCTGCTGAAGGACTATGAACCTGGAAGGAAACAGTTCAAAGAAACTCACAACATAGATAAGACACCTACTTCCATAAAACCAAACAAAACAGCATTTTGTTTCAAATGCCACCTAGGAACACTAGATAAGATGAAGTATACACATTATGGCAGATAGTTAATAATCCCCATGTTTTCACCTGCCGGTATTACTGCAAATTACACTGTTTCCATGACATGCCTAATGGAACAGTTGGCTATTTTCATAAGCAGTCACATGCACTGGAGGGAGGATCAGCCGGCGGGGCCCGCGGCACAACCGGAGAGGCCAAGCTTGCTAAACTCTCTCGCTGGGTGGGGAGTGGCTGGTGTATGAAATGACACATCCCGGCCGACACGAGCGGGCAGCACCGCCCTAAGGCATCTCCTCTGGAGCCGCTGCCGCTTCCTGAGTGGGCTCCTCGGCGGGCTGGGTGTCCTGGGTGGCCGTGGGGCTGTGGCCAGGCCTGTGGCCATCGTGGGCGCCGTGACCGCCGGCGCTGCCCAGGCGCGTGGAGGCCACCACGGCTTTCACTGCGGCCTGGGAGAGAGAGAGGACCAAGCAAACATTCCTTAGGGAGCACTGCCCCGAGAGGGAATGCAACTGCCTTTAGTCTTCCTGGGAATGCCACCTCTGGATACCTGCCTGGGCCTGGGTGGGTTTAGGAGGCCAGGTTTAAAATTGTTGCTTTCATAAGGTTACAGGTTGGGCCACATGAACACACCTTTTTTTTCACGTATACCTGCTGCTTTCTTTTTTTGGGTTTGGTTGGTTTTTTTTTTTGGAGGTGTCCCGTGTTGAAGTTGGATGGCAAAAAAGAAAGTTATCATCTTATGTCATAATAATAATAGAGCTGCCGTGCAGTGGTTGTGCTCCTGCCGGGAGCGGGGCTGGGGCACAGCGAGCCCCACTCTAATAACACACTAATAATCACTATTATCACTGATTATTCCACGAAAATTTCATGAAGGAGCACAATATTTATCACTATTGCACTGTTGCTTATCCCAAGCACAATGTTGTGGAGCACATGGACAACTTCCTAAATATGTGTATATAAAATACACACTGGAAGTAGGCTTTCATATCATATGAAATATCACAAAATGAAGACACATATGAAGGCAGTTATATTACCCCTTGCCTTGAAGAGTTTTATTGCCTGAAAAAAACGCAGACATACAGAGGTGAGGAAAAGAAATGCTAATTTCTGTGTGTGACAACTCAAGCTATTTTTGGCTTGGCAGCTTTTGCTTAGTCATCAAAGAAGTGGGTCTGCAGGAAGAGATGAAGAATATAGCAAGTTTTGTGGATTCTTTGGAGAGGTAATCACACACACACACACACAAACAAAACCCACATAGAAAAGAAACAAACAAAAAGCTCCCACAAAGAAATAAAAAGGAAAAAAAAGAAGATGTGAATGAAAAACAGATAACAGAATCACTGTCAATAAAACAGAATCAGCTACAACAGATTATGAAGAAATACTATAAGGTATAAACCAAAGAAAGTGGCAAGAATTTTGAGAAACTAGATCTTTTAAAGGAAAAATCACAGACATCCACATTAGTAGTGAGAGGACTTTGGAAAACACATTACAAACAGAACAAGCCACTCGATACCGTAATGTCTAAAGGCACTTTCAGTGTAATTTACTCTCACAAGCAGTGTTGGATGCTCATGAAACAAATTCAACACAGCCTGTGAGAAACCAAATCCTGACTGAGACCTTTAGAGTTACTCTTTAAATTTGTCTTTACATAAAGAGAACCTGCTGATAGGCTTTCCTGTTGGGAAAGAGGAGATAATTACATATTATTGTTACTAATAACAGCTAAAATGTGTACTCACTGCTTTGATGTCTACTTTGGTTTTCTTTTTTTGACCGGGAATTAATAGTCTAAAAATTAATTGTTTCTTTTATATATTTGTGGAAAATTATTAGCTCTACAAGAACTGTTAACTTCAATCAATCCTCTTAACAATTGGAGATTTGGTAATTCAATCTTTAGAAGAGAAGCATTGAAATAAACTTACAAAAAGTGATAGTTTGTAATCACAAAAAATAAATTGATTACTGTAAGGGTCTAAATAAAATAGCTTCAAAAATATCTCTGGCGTAAAAATATAAAGAAAAACAAAATCAAAACATCAATGTGAGTTATATCTACAAACTCTGAGAACGTTGTAAATGATAAAACAAATTTCTTTGTCCTGTAGAAATTCTCTGCTGCAGTTCTCTATTAAAAAAAGCAGCAAAGCAAAGTTAAGGCTCAGTTTTTTGTGAATTGGTTTTTCTATGGAATTTACTAAAGCTCTCAGTTAAGTTGCTTTTTACTCTTATTCCCTAGGGCTACAAGGGCAGCTTCACTGTAGCTGTTGCTAACAATTTCTGTGCTGAAGTATATCTGGAATTATCTCCTGAGCAGCTGAAAATCTTTACAAACTGAAAAACAGATCTGGGGAGACAAAAGTTTCCTGATACATCAGTCAGGTATGCAGTTCCCTGCTATTTGCACTTAAAGATGTTCCCCTGCTTCTTCCCATGGATGGTAAAGTAGCATCCTGGGGACATTTTATGGACCCACACATCTGAAATGCTGACTCTAGTTTGTACAAAAGGATGGTGAAACCTCCTGCTTTGTACTGAAAGGTACGGGTAACTCAGGGTGGGTTAGGGATAAAGACATGCTTTAATACACTAATTTTCTTCTAGATTTATGAATGCTCATTAAAAATTTACTCAGGATGTTGTTTTTTCTGGTCAGTATTCTAAGGATGCACCAGCAGTGCAGGAAACATGGATGGACAGAAGCAAGAAAGGAAGAGGAAAGAAAAGATGGAAAGTAAGGACTTTGTGAAAGCTGTGTACATCCTCAGCAGTCCCATCTGTGTCAATAAAGTTTTCAATAAACTTCACACATTTTTATTTGTTTGGATTCAGTCATTGACTGAATCAGCTTCAAACTTCTTCAATTTTCATCAGACATCTAAATAAAAAGCTTCCATAGCACCATGGAATACTGTCTTCAAAAACTTGCAAAGTTTCTATAAAGCTAGTAATTTAATTGCATGCTTTCATAGCCAAAACAGAGACTATGAGCAGAGACTTGCCTTAAGTTTACGCCGAGCATTGAATTCTTGAAGTTTCTTCTGTGCGTTGTCCATATGTGCAAAGTTTATTGCCTTTCCTGTGACCCATGGGTGCTGCAAAGCCTGTAGAGTGGTGAGGCGTTTCTTGGGGTCTAAAACAATCAACTTTTTAACCTGCGTCACAAGGAAGAAATAGAAAAGACTGTCAACCTTGTTCTTCATTCTAATTTACCTAGTTTTGCATTTGGGGGCTCAGGTCTTGGTTTGGGGAGCATGTTAGGTAAGACATTCTAAGAAACCAACAAGAATTTTCATTTGTGTCTTTGCAAGTATTTTGCTTCTAGCTTTTCTTGGATCTCCATAAATAATATCTGATTAAGACAGCCACTAAGGGGGAAGAGAGAAGTGAAGAGAAAGAATCCAGTGGTTACCAACATATTAAGGGTATGTATCAATGCAGATGACCTGTATCTATCCCAGGCTCTTTCATGTCTGAATTATCACAAACCCCCCTAAGAGATTCTCAAAATCTCTGAGCAGTATCTCTACTTTTGGATTTGGAAAATTTTAAACTGGATTAGAAAGTTTAAATTATGCATATGCAGCTCATGCAGATTTGTACCACGCAGTCCCTGCCAGGTATATCACAAAGGAAGTGTTTCTGTCAGTCACTGTAAAACCTCATGAACACATTAAAAAAAAAAAAAGCACTGTACAAGTGTTTCTGTCTTAGCCCACTCTGAAACTAATGTTGTTTACACCATCCCTTCTCTCACCAAAGCCAGCAAACCTGGACTTCTACAAACATGACAGTAGCATATTTTTGGGAAAATGACACTGCAAATATACCCCTAGAACTGGAAATGGTCCTGCTGGATACAAAGTGTGTCCAGTCAAGTGACATTCCATGGGTTTTACTGTATCTCTGGACAAGTGGTGTTTTAAAATAAGAAGAAAGGTGGTGATGGAGTAACAAAGTGCAGAGATGGTGAGTTGCAGAGCCACACTTACCCAGCTCTCCTGACTACAGACCCTCTTGGAGCAGAGTGCAAGTGAGGCACAGGGCTCCACTGCTCCTGTGTGGCCAAGGATGAGGGAAATTTGCTTTAGGGCACTCTGACCTCTCCCTACACAGAGCTTTCAAAGAAAGTTGGTGCCCTGAAGTGTGTGCAGGAGAACAGTCATGGTGGTGAATACGGGTTGTGTCTCCAAGGAAGACCTTGGGTTAAGCAAATCGCTTTGACTGAACACTGAACACAGCATGGGTTTTGAGAGTCATGGTCATCATACTTACCTACAGTTTGCTATGCAATATTCAAACCCGAAAGTTTGAGCATTACTTTACTAAAACAATATGGATCAGTTTGGACAAAGCTTTACCTGCAGATTGCGGTTTATCTGGCAGTAAATTATATTTTTTTGACCTTAGAAAAAGTTCACATCTCATAAAGCATCAAAAAAGTACTTTGAACTTCCATTTGAAATATCCTAAAGTACTTCACTAACACCAATGACGTAGTATTTTGTGAAACAGTTTGTATAAACACATGTGGAATTTTGTTTTCAGTGCTAATGAAATAACTGATTATGTAAGTTATTATTGACAAGAGTCAGACTCAAGCATACCTATCTTTGCAGATCAGTGTCTTCTGAATCCAAATTACTTTATCCAGTAATAAAAGAATACAGTGCAGAGAGCATGCCAGCCCTTGCATTTTGCTAATGGAGCATATTTAAAAGTAGTCAGCCTTTCCTCACCTACTAAGAAAACCAACTTTAATGGACAGAAAAAGTATGTCAGAAAAAGCGAGGGGGGAAAGTTTCATTCCTTTTTATATTCTTCCACAAAATTCAGGCTTGAAAACTGCACAAAAAGAAGGGTTTGTTTCTACATTCCCCTGAAGGTGTTTGCCCAGAAAAGAGAAATGGTGAAATGCTTCAGAGCTGGAAGGAAAGGCAGCAATACATGAACACAGCTGCCAACAGTTTATGGCTTACTTCACAGAAAAACCTGAATACCCATATTCTGAGTGCAAAATTACAGCACTGGGCTAACAGAGGATATTAATAGCACCATAATATAGCAAAGACAAGAGGAAACAATTATGAACAATTAATTAACCAATCATTCTGCCCTCACCCCAAAACAGACTCTTTCTTGGTGGCAGAAATACTAAATATTCATCTTTTTCATGCTTTACTTACTAAATCCTTGGCATTCAGAGACACATCATCCCACCAGGGGGACACAAAGTCATATTCACAGCTCAGGATTCTCTTAAACATATACTGATCTCCCCTTTCATCATAAAATGGTTCAAAGCCACAAAGTCTGAAAGGATAAAAAAGAAATTAATTTATCAGAGTTTAATTAGTCTTGAGTTGTTAGAAACAGTTCATGGTAGTTTTTTTCCCTACTTTGTTTCCTGTAGATCACTTTGGGTAGATGTACTGGATGTACAGACCTGGATGTACTCCTGGACCCCTAATTCTACAGAGCAGAGAGAAATGTGGTCATAAGTATTCTTAAGCACTGGGAAAGGCATTCCTAATTGTAATTTTCTTATTTTCACATGTGTTTAATTGGAACAATTAAAACAGTACCATTGAGCATTTTTCAGAATCCCTGTAATTCTTGCCAGAGAAATAGGAATTAGCTGAGGAAATCCATCTTACATGTGAAGTTAGAAGCTTTGAAGTTAGAAGCTTAGTCCAATTGGGACTGATTTTTAGTCTATGTTCATCCCTGTACATTTTTTCATCCTATCAGTCACAATATGTAAAAACCTTTGGTAAATTTTTGTGATCAGCCCTCAACTTTACTTACGTAACTTACGTACAATCTAGAAGTCTTGTGATCTCACTAATGACTGTGTTTATAAATATATTGAATAATACAGATCTCAGCAGAGATCCACACTGCTGGCCCCAGGGAAAGCAGGCTCATAGATGTGGTTTCCATTTGTATAATGACCTTTTTTATTGCTTCACTGCACTTTAATTGCCTGCACACATAATCATATTTTTAAGTGAATTTCCCATTCAGCCAGTGTGTGATCTGAGCTTAACAGAGAAAGTCTATCTGCTCCTCTGCCTCCAGAAAATGCAACAAGCACTAAGATGATGAGAAGGAAACAACAGCAGATTTAAAGACCAAGACAGCAGCAAATCTAGAAAAGCCTTATATTTTAACTTGTTTTTGTGTTTTTAAACACAATGTGCTTACTGTTCTGAAAAAGGAGGCTGAGGTTCAAGGAAGAAATGTGGTTTTGGGAGTGGTGCATAGCCGTGGGTGGAACAGCTGCATCACATTCCACTGCTGAAGAGGAGAAACACCTCATTGCAAGCACATTCTGGGCGCATTATTTTTCCACGTCTGGCAGAAATGTATTAAAACACAAGAATCCAGCCTCCAAACCTTGTGCTTCAGTAGGTAGTGTCCAGCCAGAGCCCCTCTGCTTCTCCCCTTCTGTTTGCTGCCTCTGCCATCACCATTTCTGGGCTTGCAGCAGGTCCCAGCTGTCCCCATGAAGACCCCTGACAGGGTCCCTCACAGGCTCAGCCCAACCTGACTTTTGGATCTGGTAACTGATAACAGTAAGGACCTGCTTAAGCCTTGCTGTAACTGTGTTGGAAGCCTCCTAAGTGAACTCTGTTTTCACTCTAACTCACTACTATCACCTATTGTTTCCTATTAACAATTTCAATAGATATGCTTCTACTTAAAAATCCATTTTAGCAGACAGATTTTTTTCCTTTTTTTTGGCTACATGCCAAAATAGGTGAGTAAATCTAGAGGTATGATTTCAAATTAGATTAATTAAATCAGTGCAAGACCTAGTGTGGGTGCTCTTGATTTCATTTTATTTTGAAATAACATTTTATTATTGTGATTCACTTTAAATTGGCTACCTACAAATAGAGGAAAAGTCAATGTAAACAGCTTAAAAAACAACTAAAAATGACCAGATGGTATTTTGTGTTAAGTGATTTAGCAAAATAACACCTTTAATTAAATCCACGCAGTTTTGACTACAGGCAAAGCCTCTGTATTTGTTGACCACTGTCTGCATCTCAAACATGCAGAAGGATTTAGAAATCCTTCCTACTTTAGGAATACAAAAGGACTACTCCTCTTGACGTTTAAAACTAGACATGCAGCTTTCCTCGACTTATGACAGTTATCACCAATAGGTCTTAATATAATTTGCCTCAGGACAAACTGTTCTGTCAAAATATGTCAAAATATGTGTCAGCTTTTTGTAATCAAATGGCAAGTCCACTTAGATTAATGGCAAGATACAACTTTATGCAGATCCTCTGTAACATGGTTTTTCAGTATTACATCCACTCCATTTTGGGGGTACATAGAGGAATTTTATTTTTTTTTTACTCTATATAAGTGGGTTTCTTTTACTGAACTATGAGACTGAGACATGCAGCATTGTCCTCTGGGCTCCAGTTATGAGTTAGTGATTTTACATGTACCTTTCTGGTCTCAGTTTCTAATCCATCAGACATACTGATCCACAAAGCTTTACACACAATAGAAGAGTTTTACATGTTGAGTACTATTAAAACTAAATTGAAGAGACAGCCAGGTGGGGTTTTGCCTGTCTTGTTCCTGTAGATCAAAATGGAATTTTGAGGTGAGTAGGACAGGATTAGAAGCAGGAAGAATAGAAGAGTATCCAGGGCAGGAACTCATACACTTATTTATGCATATGCAGAGGTTTAGTGTGGCTTGGGAGCATCCTCTGAACATGCCACTCCACATATTCAGATAGGAATTGTTTGGAGTTTGGTTGGAAGTTGCTTACACTTGAAAACAAGTTCTGCTTAAGAAAGGCTCTTAGTTTGAAGTGCAAAAACTTCATTAAGCCTTGAGTAACTAGGAAAGGCCATAACTTAATCTAGGTGGCTTTGTAAAGGGACAACAAAAGTGACCTCCCCAGTATTAGGGTCTGCCTTGCTGGCAAATTTCACATCTGTCATGAGTGAAAACCCTAGAAGTGACAAGAAATGAGCACCTGGCAGGCAATATCTGAGATGTGATCTTCAACACAAGGTCTGGATCTTAAACCAGATACACACATTAAAAAGAAGTAAATAATAAAATGGCGAATAGGAGTATTGTAGCCTATTATTTACAGGTAAGCAAAAGGAGACCTGTGAACTATTTGAGGCTTATGTGCAGAACAAAAAGATGACTGTTTTCTGGCATTACCATCAGAGTGTTCCTATATCTTTACATTGACTTTTAGTATAAACTCTAGGGAGTATAATTCTTTCTTTGCAAAATATGAAAATCATTGTATTATTACAAGCACACTGTACTTGCTGGACATAGCAAATAGCAGGGGAGAGATAAAGGCCCACACGAATAAAATCCTTCATATCTTTAAGGTACATGTGTAAAATCTCCTTTTCTTCCCATAAAAGGCATCTTAGAAGTATATAACTACACAAGCCATCTTAGCATTGTCATTGCCAAGGGTCTAAATAAAGTCTCATAATTATTCTCCCATAAAGAAGAGAGTCAATACATCGTATGCAATTTTCCCTTCTCAATGATCTTCCTTTGAAAGATTCAGTCAATACAATAAAGTAATTACAATCCTTACCAACTGAATCATGACTAGCCAGAGTAAGTACTTAGACACAAGTGCCTATTCAAAAACAAGTGTTTGGAGCTTTTGGCCTATACTCATTCACATTAATAGCATGACTCTGTGCAGATCTTGCTGCTGTTCAGGAAGAAATTTTATATTTATCAAATATTTAAACTGAGTGTTTTGCCATGCTTCTCTAGGATTTGACTTACTTCAGTAAGGTTAAGCATATAATAATTAAATTTCAGGATCTTGTATTTTCCAATGGCACAGCTCATAGTGTCCTGAAATCCTGTGGGTGCAAAAAAGTGAACCTCTCTGTAGCACTGTCTGCACTTACAGGATGTAGGTGATAATCCCCAGGGACCACATGTCCACCTCAGGGCCATAGGCACATCCCCGTAATATCTCAGGTGCTGCAGAGGACAAAACACTTATCAGTGACATAGAAGTTGAGTGAAGAACAGTCACAAAATCAATTAAAGTTCATGTACTGTCGTGTCTTTCATAAAAAGTTAGGACTGCTCATTTAAACCCTTAATTAGGCAAATTATTCCCTTCACTGAATATAAAACAAGAAAAGTAATGCCCAAGCAGAGACAGAATAAAATGAGAAGTGTACTTTGGTTTCAAATTGTTTTTTACATTTGTGAAAGGAACCATAGAAACCTACATCTGCACTGGAGCTACCATGGGACCCAGAAAGTGGTGCTTTAACTTCAGTATTTTACTTAGCGTTTTCATAAATACATCATCAACAAAAGCGGGGACAATGAAAATTTCCATCCTGTATTGGACACAGAGGCAAACACTGGAACCAAGGATGAGGAAAAGGCTGAGGTCCTTAATGCATTCTTTGCCTCAGTCCTCAACAGTCAGGCCTGTTTATCCTCAGGGAACCATTCCCTGAGCTGGCAGGCAGGGGCAGAGAGCAGAACAGACCCTGTGCAAGGGAGGAAGGAGGCAGTGACCTGCTGATCCACTTGGACACTCACAA